TCATCTTCCCAAATCTACAGTGCAGGAATTTAAGGAAATCCAGAGACCAACTATTAAAGCAGAGCTTGAAAAATAGTGCTCTGGACATCACAAAGCTCTTCCCGCCATCTGAGGTCTCCCATAGCCCGACTGTGGATACACACCCCGTTTTTGACCTGGAGGAAATCACAGAGGTGGAGGTAACAAATATTAAAAGGGTTAAAAGGTTTTAAGGCTAGGGATGCAGATGATTTAGACACCAACTTTATAAAGACAAATATTGACGGTCTAATAAAACCAATTAGTATGCGAGTAAATCAATCTATCAGCACGAGGGAAGTTCCATCATCCTGGAAGGTGGCCACGGTGACACCGATTTTTAAATCTGGGGATAAGGCAATGATGTCCAACTACAGACCAATCAGCATCCTCCCCTGTGTCTCTAAGGTAGCTGAGAAATGGGTGTCAAAACTAATCAAACATTTAGATAAAGGTTTCGCTCCACTCCACCCAATGCAGTTTGGTTTTCGTGCTCACCACTCCACTGAGACAGCTAACTGTGTCTTTGTGGAAAAGGTTAAATCTATGTTGGACACGAGCCCATATGTAGGTGCTGTCTTCCTTGATCTCAGGAAGGATTTTGACACTGTTGACCACCAAGTGCTCCTTACAAAGCTGACATATTTCAATGTTTCGGCAGATTCAATACAGTGGGTTAAGTCTTACTTATCGAACAGAAAACAGTGTGTTTTGGTCAACGGTACCAAATCCCCCTACCTTGTGAACCCTGTTGGGGTTCCACAAGGTTCCATTCTTGGACCATTACTGTTTTCTCTGTACATTAATGACTTGCCTAATGTGTGTCCTGAGTTGAATGTGCAAATGTATGCCGATGATGCGGTCATCTTTGTACAGGGGAAAAATACTGAAATAATCACATCCTGTCTCTCAAATGCATTGGACAAGGTTCAACACTGGCTGAACAACATTTGCTTACAGTTAAATGCAAAAAAACAGTATGCATGATGTTCAGTAAACGACCAGTCAAAATCGAAGGATCCAACGTGTTTTTAAACAGAGCAGAATTAGAACTAGTCCCCCACTTCAAGTATCTTGGAGTCATACTGGACTCGAACTTGACTTTTAAGAAACATATTAAGAAAGTATCCAATACCGTTAAATTCAACTTGCAACATTTTAAACAAATCAGACCTTTCTTAACTGTCAATGCTGCAAAGTCATACCTCCACTGTATGATTCTATCCCACATTGAATACTGTTTTACAAACTGGTCGTTTGCTTGTGCCACAAACCTGAAACCCATAGAACAGCTGTACAAGAGAGCTATCAAGGTGTTTGACAGAAAGCCACATTCATACCACCACTGTACCATCCTTGAGAAACACCATTTCTTGAGTTTTGACCATTTAAAGTTTTTTAAAAGTATGTGTTTTTTTTATAAATGTTTACATGGACTGCCCCCCCCCCCCTCCCTTAGGGGAATTCATCCACAGAAAACACACTGGACGCTGCACTAGGTCAGAAACCAGAGGAGACTGTGAAGTCCACCGCAGACGGACCACTTTTGGACAAAATGTCCTCTCCGTTAAAGGCAGCTCATTGTGGAATAGCCTCCCAACTGAGATACGGGATTGTCCCACTCTCAATAGCTTTAAAGGTCAACTCAAAGAATGGTTGAGAAACAAACAGACGTGTAATCACCGCTAAATGCACTTTAACACAGGGGTATCTCCTCTTGCCCTTTAGGTAGCTCTTTTATCTTCTCCTGCACTTTAAGGCCCCTACACACCAGGCCGATATCGGCCGTCTTGCGTTGTTTGGCGACAACGGGTTCCTTGTCGCCCAAAGTCAATTTGGTGTGTCCCGAACCCTCGGCCGTGACACGCCTTATTTGGCCTTTCACGGTCGAAACCCGGCCGATTCAACATGTTGAATCGGCCGGGTGTCGGACACAAGCTATCGGGCCAAGAAACCACTCTGATCAGCTGTTCAGCTAGCAAATGAGAAGCGAAACGGAAGTGAGGGACGTAAACAAACGATTTAAGGCACAGGACAGCAGCTAAACACCAGCAGGTGATACTTAAAGACATCAAACATAGCCCTTAAATGTCCTCTCTTACCTCCCACACATAGCAGGGACATCTCTGATATCGGCGGGAGCGTTCCCGGCTGTCCTCTGCTGAGAGCTCCGTGATTTGTTTGGTCAAGTCCGGTTTTTCATCTCATCGTAAATTTAGCAAGAAGTGGCCATCATTACATTGCTGACTCAATAAACTACACACCCGCCAGAACACTGCAATCATCAGATGCAGGTCTATTAACTGTGATTTTATAGTATGTCTGCACTTTATGTGCTCATTTCATCATTCATGTATTTTTATATTCTAAAACATGTTTTCGATGGACGAGAGTGAAAATGGAACGCACACGCTATTTGTTTGTTTATATCAGTCTGTTCTTCTTCTCTGTCTTCCGGTTGTTGCCTATTTTGAATGACGAATACACACTACCGCCGCCTGCTGGTAAGGAGAGTTATTGCCACTCACGCATGCGCAGTTCGTACGTGCTCGGCTGAAGTCTTTGCGGTGATTTCCAGTGCGACACACAGCCAAGACGCAGGAGAACTCGTCGATGGAACTGTCGGTGTCGGCGAGTTCTCTGGTGACTGCCTGGTGTGTCAGGGCCTTTATATGTTGTAGCTGCTGTATTGTACTGCCATGTGGTAAATACTTGTGTATGCTGCTCTTGCTCTTTTGCACTTTTTGCAGTGAGGGACTGCGGATGGAAATTAGCTCAAAGCTAAATCTAGCACTGTTACGCTTGACACATTTGAATGTTTTAAGTGTTCATTACTGTGCATTGTCCCTGCCAAATAAACGATTAAATGAAAAAATGATGCGATGGTCAACAGTGTAAAATGCTGCACTTAAGCCCAGCAAGATGAGTAGGCTTGGGGAACCAGAGTCAGCCGCCATCAGCAGGTCATTTAGAACCCGCACCAGAGCTGTTTCAGTGCTGTGAGCTGGTCTGAAACCGGACTGGAAGGTTTCATAGAGCTCATGAGTGTGGAGATGTTCGTGAAGCTGAAGGGCAACAACTTTTTCCAGAACTTTTGCTAGAAAAGGCAGGTTTGAGATGGGGCAGTAGTTTGTGAGTACCTCAGGATCCAGATTGTGCTTCTACAGGACCGGTCTGATGGCTGCCAGCTTGAGGGAGGGGGGGACCTCACCACTCAACAAGGATTTGTTTATTATGATGGTGGCAGTTGGAATAATGGATGGAGAGCAGGCTTTCAGTAGGGAGGTGGGGATAGGATTAAGGGCGCAGCTCAGCGACGTGCAGTCAGGGGAGGCAGAGCCTCACCTGTCATACTCCGATGTAACGGAAAAAACAACTAAAGAAAAACTAAATAGTAATAATAATAAAATGTATCCACTGATCTGTGTTGTAAGTGTGATTTCTGTATGATTCCAATCGCTTTTTATAGTCAAAATCAGCAAATTTGCCGAGCTCCGCTACGGGAGCGATGAGAAGTGAGGCAGGGACGAGCTCTGCCTCTCGTAAGCCCACAGTAACTTGCTGGAGCACGGGCACTAATTTAGCGCGGGCACTTATTTTGTGAGCGCGCTCAAGCCAGTTACTGTGGGGTAAGATGAGCTCTGCCTCACCTCAGAATGCGTCACCCCAGAGAAACTGGCTGGAAAGCGGGCCCTAAGCGCATGCCTGTTACCATCTCACTGTAGCTCACCAATGTAATGTTTGTAGATCCCTTTATTACATTTATCCTCGCCATCCATAGTCTCTAAATAACTTATTTCACGTATATATGATATTTAGGCCCGCTGGTCTCATCATACAACGGCAATGAAAAAAGTACCAGGGGAGGCAGCCATAACCTCTGCCGCACTGAAGGGGGCGCACGTGAGCGCACAGGTTCTTGTTGCTACTGTTATTCTACGCAGAGACGGTAGACGCAAACAACAAACTAGACTTTTGTTTTGAAACTACAGGAAGATAAGGAGGACTTTTACAAAAAAGTAATAGAGATTGTTGTCCAGAAGGATAGCATGGACTTCATCTTCAAGTCAAGGTAAGACCACATTTGTAATGAAAATGGGATCTTACTAAGAAAGAACAATCCAATATTTAGATTTTGGGTATCCTTTTGTTGAACGGTCTGTTTAAAATTAATCGAAGCGTCAGACTAAAAAAGCTTTTGAAAATAACCGAATATTTCGATTAAGGTCAAAATATAATATTTGTAAATCTGACTCAGTGAGTCAGTGCCTCACCAGCCATGAACCTCACCGCACGTCACTGGTGCAGCTAGATGAGGTCATTGCTGAGATGATTTTTGAAAGCTCAGCTTGCGAGACCTCCGTGAAGCAGTTTAGGGTTGGTGCATTTGGTGGAGCAAGTACAGGATGTTGGGGAGAGACAGGTTGGTTTGAGGAGGCTTTGGCGATGTTAAGCCTGATGTTTTCAATTTTTGTTTTTTAAAGTTCCATAAAGCGGTTGCAGTCATCAGTTGTAGGAGTGGTTGATGAGGGATCACTAGGCTTGAGCAACCGATGCATTGTGGAGAATAGGTGCTTGGGTTTGTTACGATTTGTCTCAATCAGATTGGAGTAGTAGGCTGACCTGGTTGCTCTCAATGCCGAGGAATAGGCCTTCTGGTGATCTCTAAAAGAGAGCAGGTGGACAGTTAGGCCAGTTTTCCTATATCTGCGCTCAATCTTCCGACCCTCTGATTTTTGCGCTCTGAGCTGGTCAGTGTACCATGGGGCAGAGCGATGGAAAGACACCACTCGGCTTATTTCAGGTGCCAGCCTGTCTAGGCACTCATGCAGGGTGTTATTATACTGGTGCACATGCTCTTCAAGTGAGAGTGCAGCATGGGGCCTGGATAGGGAAGAAGAGAGGGCAGACGTTAGCTGACTCTGGTCTATGTCAAGCTCAGCACTCATTATTCACTCAAAGTTATGTGTGTTGTGTTCCAGCCAAGAGCAAACAACACATTCTGCTGGACCTGGACCTGGACCTGGACCTGGACAGGGATCTGAAGAAGGACATGGACCTGGATCTGAACTGGAAACCTGGTCCTGAACCTGGTCCTGAACTTGAACCTGGTCCTGAACCGGAACCTGGTCCTGAACCTGGTCCTGAACCGGAACCTGGTCCTGAACCTGTGTCCAGTAACCAGCTTACTGCCGGAGACCAGAACCAGGTGTGTGAGTCTCTCTCTACCATCAGCCCTAACTGTATCCCACTGTCACAATATCCAATCTGTCCAGTTCAGGTCCAGGTCCAGGTTATTTCTTTGTACCAGTGGGTAGACTTGGTTTGCAGAAAAAATAAAAGGTATCCATCGTGACACATGCTTCAAACAACACAGACACATTGAAAACCACTAGCACAGACAAAGCTGTTTTTAAACCTCTTGGTTCTACATCTTTAGGAAGATTAACCTCCGGCCCGAAGGAAGAAGCTGAAGTTCAGGTTGCAGGGGTGGGAGTCTTCATTAAACATGGAGTTAGACAGCCTCTGTAACTGTCTGATGAGCAGGGACTCCAGGTTTAGCTGTGACTCACCAATCAGTCTGCTAGATCACTTTATGATCTGACTGAGACAGTTTCTGCTCTTTAAAGTCAGGTTACCAAACCAAGACATTAAAGAAAAAGACAGAATTGACTGTGCTGACTGTCTTCAAGTTTAGGATTGACTTCCTGAATGTCTTTCTTGAAGTCTAAGGTATTAAAACAAGTTTAGAACCGATTAGGGCATTTACTAACTCGACATCTGAATTGAAGCCATCCAAAGTCACATGGCAGATGTTCTTTGGATCCTGAAGGCCTGTTAATAATAATAATAATAGTCAATTTTATTTATAAGTGCACTTTTCATTTGCGTAAACAAAACTCAAAGTGCTACAGAGTAAAAAGGGTAAAACAAAACAATCAAAACAATTAAGACAACAGAATAAAGCAGTGACATGGCAAAATGTGGGGGTTTTAAAAATCTAGTTAAAGGCTATTCTAAAAAGATGCGTTTTTAGGCCTGTTATGGTTTTCAAAAGTACAAAAATACAATACAAAAACATATTGTTCTGTAAGATAAGGATTTTCTTTCTTGGTACCTTTGCTCTGCAGGGAGAACAGATGGAGACACCTAGAGAAGTCCTATTACAAACTTTAGAAGATTTGGAGGAAAAGGACTTAAAAAAATTCAAGTGGTGCCTGGAGAAGAAGGTCCTAAAATTCCCAGGAATCCCAAAGAGTCGACTACAGAAAGCAGCAGACCAGATGGACACAGTGGATCTGATGCTTCCGTACTACGGCATACACACCATTAAAGTGACCAGAGAAGTTTTGAAGATGATCCCGAGGAATGATCTAGAAGAGGAATTATCAAAATTCCCATCAGACCCTGAAGGTAGGTCTTTAAAAAAGAGTTTACCAAAATATAACTTTTTTTATTTTTCACTCCTGATATACCCCTCAGAGAACCATCACCTCCACATGGTGTCGGGATTGAGGTACCCCTGAAAGCAGAGAGGTCAGGGCCACTAGTTTTTGGCAGGGTTACCCTGTTGGTTCCAGGTGAGGGGTTGTAAAACCTTTATAGATCAGCATTTTAGGAAGACAATTACCTTTCCTGGATTAGGAAGTTTGGGTTTTGGTAAAATTGTCCAAAATATATCGCCTTTCTTCTCTTCCTAACCACAATTCTTTAACCTCTGTGAAACATCTTGGGGTTAATGATAGGAAGATTCATCAGGACTTAGGAAAATAAACTGCTGTGCTTTGAGAGTCCGACCGCACTGACACTATCCAACGTCATTATGATTAGCAGCCGATGTTATTAAGAAGGAGAAGACGCTTTATTTCATCCCAAAGGGGAAATTCAGCTCAGTGATTCACTCGGTTGTGGTAACAGACAGTACAATACACACACATGCACAGGACAGGTGAGAGAGGCCTGAGCAAAACAGGCGGCCAGTCTGTCCAGCGCCAGGGAGCAGTTGGGGGTTCTGTGCCTTGCTCAAGGGCAGGAGGTGAACTGGCACCTCTCCAGGAACCAGTCTACACTCCGTATTATTTTGGTCCGATCGGGACTCCAACCGGCGACCCTTCGGTTCCCAACACAAATTCCTGCAGACTGCGCCACTTAAACACTCTGCTGCATTGGCTGGGAATCTAACCCGGGCATCCAGGTGAGAATTCTACCACTGAACCACCAATGCTATATTAACGAGTTTATCCTGGTGGGACATTGGAGATATGTAATACAAGTGGGTCATGCTAAAAGCCAGTGTTGGGGAGGGGATGGATCAGAGGAATGACCAGAAAGTCATCAGTGTGCTCTGAAATGGCAGTGAGTCCTTGAGTGCTACGTTTTCCCAGGAAACGGCCATTTCTGTTTGGAATGAGGTTTGTCCTGCCGAACTGTCAGATATCTCAGGAGGGGGAGTCATGGATAAACCCCGGCTGTTTTCCACAGTGTAGGTTAGCTGCTGACTCAGTCTCAGGATGTTGAATGGGACTGTCCTAGTCATTACTAATGGCCCAGCCGCCTATAGGTGGAAGGGGGTATCATTTGCCGTCCTACATGACTTGGTGAGGAAGGGACGGGTTATTACTGGGACCCCCCAGGGTGTCTTGTAGATGGTAGGCTACTGCAGGAGTATACTGCAACACAGTAAGAGCCATCCACTTCCTGTATAACTGGAGAGAGAGCTGTGTCCACACCCTCAGTGGGTGTTGGGATCTGCTGGTAGCAGCAGGAATAAGAGTCAGTCAGGTTTAGGGCCATGGTTCTCTGTGGGAAAACAGATGGTTCTCTGTGGGGTGGAACTTATACTGGACAATGTACAGATAAATATGCAACAATATCCAGTGACTTGACATAAGGAAAATAACCTGCTATTTTGTCAGAAATGGGTCCAATTAGAAGGAAATCTTTTGATGTGTCTTTCATGTAAATGTATTTCTTATTCATTCAGATATTCTCACTAAGTGCCAAGGTGAACTCAAATCAAACCTGAAGGAAACATATGAAAATATCACATTTATGGACAAATCTGAATCCCTACATAAAATCTACACGGAGATCTACATCACCAGGGGACACACCACAGAGGTCAACAAGGAACATGAGATCAGACAGATCGAACAAGCATCCAGTAAACCAGACAGATCAGAAACAACCATCAGACAAGAAGACCTCTTTAAAGGCTCAACTGAAAGAGGTAAACCAATCAGAGCAGTGATGACAAAGGGAGTGGCTGGCATTGGGAAAACAGTCTTAACACAGAAGTTCACTCTGGACTGGGCTGAAGGCAAAGCCCACCAGGACATCCAGTTCATATTTCCATTCACCTTCAGAGAGCTGAATGTGGTGAGTGATGAAAAGTACAACTTGGTGGAACTTGTTCATCACTTCTTCGCTGAAACCAGAGACGCAGGAATCTGCAGGTTTGATCAGTTCCAGGTTGTGTTCATCTTTGACGGTCTGGATGAGTGTCGACTTCCTCTGGACTTCCACAACACTAAGGTCCTGACTGATGTCACAGAGTCCACCTCAGTGGATCGGCTGCTGACAAACCTCATCAGGGGGAAGCTACTTCCCTCTGCTCACCTCTGGATAACCACACGACCTGCAGCAGCCAATCAGATCACTGAGTTTGTGGACATGGTGACAGAGGTCCGAGGGTTCACTGACCCACAGAAGGAGGAGTACTTCAGGAAGAGATTCAGAGATCAGGAGCAGGCCGGCACCATCATCTCCCACATCAAGACCTCACGAAGCCTCCACATCATGTGCCACATCCCAGTCTTCTGCTGGATCTCTGCTTCAGTTCTGGAGGACATGTTGAAAACTGAGGGAGGAGAGCTGCCCAAGACCCTGACTGAGATGTACATCCACTTCCTGGTGATTCAGTCCAAAGTGAACGTCAAGTATGATGGAGGAGCTGAGACAGATCCACACTGGAGTCCAGAGAGCAGGAAGATGATGATGGAGTCTCTGGGGAAACTGGCTTTTGAGCAGCTGCAGAAAGGCAACCTGATCTTCTATGAGTCCGACCTGAGAGAGTGTGGCATCGATATCAAAGCAGCCTCAGTGTACTCAGGAGTGTTCACACAGGTCTTTAAAGAGGTGAGAGGAACGTACAAGAACACAGTGTTCTGCTTCGTCCATCTGAGCGTTCAGGAGTTTCTGGCTGCTCTTCATGTCCATCTGACCTTCATCAACTCTGGAGTCAACCTGATGGCCCCCTGGTGGTCTAAAGTCTTCAGACAAAAACCTAAACATCTCTACCAGAATGCTGTGCACAAGGCCTTACAGAGTCCAAACGGACACCTGGACTTGTTCCTCCGCTTCCTCCTGGGTCTTTCACTGAAGACCAATCAGACCTTATTACACGACCTGCTGACACAGGCAGTAAGTGGCTCACAGACTAACCAGGAAACAGTTGAATACATCAAGAAAAATATAAGAAAGCACCCGTCTCCGGAGAAAAGCATCAACCTGTTCCACTGTCTGAATGAACTGAATGATCGTTCTCTAGTGGAGGAGATCCAACGGTACCTGAGTTCAGGCTGTCTCTCCACAGATAAACTGTCTCCTGCTCAGTGGTCAGCTCTGGTCTTCATCTTACTGTCATCAGAAGAAGATCTGGACGTGTTTGACCTGAAGAAATACTCTGCTTCAGAGGAGGCTCTTCTGAGGCTGCTGCCAGTGGTCAAAGCCTCCAGGAAAGCTCTGTAAGTGGAGATAAAACTACATTAACTAGGAACAGTTTGAGATATGAGAACAAAACTCTTTGTGTTCACTGCTGATCTTTCCCCAGGCTGACTGGCTGCAACCTGTCAGAGAGAAGCTGTGAAGCTCTGTCCTCAGTCCTCAGCTCCCAGTCCTCTAGTCTGAGAGATCTGGACCTGAGTAACAACGACCTGCCGGATTCAGGAGTGAAGCTGCTGTCTGGTGGACTGGAGGGTCAACACTGTACTCTGGAGACTCTCAGGTCAGAGTTCAGCTGATATGTTAACTGTCAGATTGGTTTTGTTCAGCCATTTATATCAACTCTTTTCCAGTTTTATCAAATTATAATAATAATACATTTCGATTCTTCTTCGGTTTGTTGTTTATTTTTCTTCTTCAAAACAATAAACCACAAAACCATTATCAGAATCAGAATCAGAAACAGGTTTATTGCCAGGTAGGTTCGCACATACTAGGAATTTGACTTGATGTCATGGTGCATACATAAAATATAAAAAACAAGAAATCTAATATAAAACACAAAATATTTTACACCACTTACCACTAGGTAAGTTTGAGAAACCGGCTCGAGATACACTTGTTGTTATATTCCATGGAATGCTCTTAACATCCCGATAGCAATGAATATCTTAAGTGCTTTGACAAAAAATCCATAAAAAAATGTCATCTGTGGAAGCCATAGTACTGTAAAAAGCACGACCAATCATTTGAGCCGGCCCGGCTAAAATAACTGGATGGCCTACCTGCCTGTCAGCCTTCCATCTGTGCACAAACTTATCTCGTGCCCTCATTGGTCATGTGCGCGTTCGTGTGTTGGAGGAGGGGCTCTGTAAGGAAGTGGCAGATTTTTCCCGGCTGTTTATTTTCAAATTTTAGCGCACTCGAGCTGGTTTCTCCAAAATTACCTACCCTACCTTTAAATAGCAATAAAATAAAAATAAAATAAAGCAGTAATTTACATGGAAATAGAATGCTATGAATGAATTGGAGCAGATGTTCTGATCCCATTTGAGGTCCTGGGCGATGATGGTGCCCAGGAAGCGGAAAGACTCCACAGCAGTTACTGGGGAGTCACACAGAGTGATGGGGGTGGGTGGGGCTGCGGTCTTCCTGAAGTCCACGACCATCTCCACTGTTTTTAGACAGGAAGTCTGTGATCCACCTGCAGGTGGAGTCGAGCACGTGCAGCTGGGAGAGCTTGTCCTGCAGCAGAGCCGGGATGATGGTGTTGAAGGCGGAGCTGAAGTCCACAAACAGGATCCTGGCGTAGTTTCCTGGTGTGTCCAGGTGCTGGAGGAGGAAGTGAAGGGCCATGTTGACAGCGTCGTCCACAGACCTGTTGGCTCTGTAGGCGAACTGCAGGGGGTCCAGGAGTGGGTCTGTGATGGATTTCAGGTGGGACAGGACAAGGCGCTCAAAGGACTTCATAACCACAGAGGTCAGGGCGACGGGTCTGTAGTCATTTAGTCCTGTGATCCTTGCTTTCTTGGGAACCGGGATGATTGTTGAAGTTTTGAAGCATGCTGGGACGTGGCATGTCTCCAGTGAGGTGTTAAAGATGTCAGTAAACACAGGAGACAGCTGATCAGCACAGAGCTTCAGGGTGGAGGGGGAGACATTGTCAGGGCCAGCTGCTTTTCTGGTATTGAGTTTACTGAAAAGTCTGTTTATATCCCTTTCATTGATTGAGAGAGAGTCTGATGTGTCGAGGGGAGGTCAGTGGTGTGGGGGAGTGAGATACTGAAGGGGAGGGGGATGTGGAGGTGTGAGACTGAAGCTGTTGAGAGGTGTCATGGGGGATGGTGTCAGGACTGAACTCTCTGTCTTCAAATCTGCAGTAGAACTGATTCAGATCGTTTGCAAGGCGTCGGTTGTTCATGGAGAGGGAGGCTTTTGGCTTGTAGTTTGTGATCTGCCTGAGACCACGCCAGACAGAAGCAGAGTCGTTTGCTGAGAGCTGATGTTGAAGTTTCTCAGAGTATTGTCGTTTAGCATCACTCACCGCCTCTCACCGCCTTGCCAAAGACGTACTTCGACTCTCTAAAACGTGCCTTATCGCCACTCCTAAACGCCTCCTCCTTTTGCAATCTTAGCTGTTTCAGTTTTGGTGTGAACCAGGGCTTGTTGTTGTTGAAACTCACCCTGGTGCGTGTTGGTACACAGCTGTCTTCGCAGAAGCTGATGTATGACGTCACAGCCTCTGCATATTCATCCAGACTTTGCGTTGCAGTCCTAAACATGTCCCAGTCAGTACAGTCCAAACACGCCTGAGGTTCCTCCTTAAGGCCCCTACACACCAGGCCGATATCGGCCGTCTTGCGTTGTTGGGCGAAAACGGGTTCCTTGTTGCCCAAAGTTAATTTGGTGTGTCCCGAACCCTCGGCCGTGACACGCCTTATTTGGCCTTTCACGATCGACACCCGGCCGATTCAACATGTTGAATCGGCCGGGTGTTGGACACAAGCTATCGGGCCAAGAAACCACTCTGATCAGCTGTTCAGCTAGCAAATGAGAAGCGAAACGGAAGTGAGGGACGTAAACAAACGATTTAAATGTCCTCTCTTACCTTCCACACATAGCAGGGACATCTCTGATATCGGCGGGAGCGTCCCCGGCTGTCCTCTGCTGAGAGCTCCGTGATTTGTTTGGTCAAGTCCGGTTTTTCATCTCATCGTAAATTTAGCAAGAAGTGGCCATTATTACATTGCTGACTCAATAAACTACACACCCGCCAGAACACTGCGATCATCAGATGCAGGTCTATTAACTGTGATTTTATAGTATGTCTGCACTTTATGTGCTCATTTCATCATGCATGTATTTTTATATTCTAAAACATGTTTCGAACGGCACCCGCTATTTGTTTGTATATCAGTCTGTTCTTCTTCTCTGTCTTCCGGTTGTTGCCTATTTTGAATGACGAATACACACTACCGCCGCCTGCTGGTAAGGAGAGTTATTGCCACTCACGCATGCGCAGTTCGTACGTGCTGGGCTGTAGTAAAGCGGTGTATTTCAGTGCGACACACGGCCAATACGCAGGAGAACTCGTCGATGGATCTGTCGGTGTCGGATGTCGGCGAGTTCTCTGGTGACTGCCTGGTGTGTCAGGGCCTTTAGCTTTACTGCTCCACTGCCTGAATATCCTCACTACAGGCTTACACAGCTTGAGTTTCTGCCTGTATGCAGGAATTAGGTGAACCATGGTGTGGTCAGAGTGGCCCAATGCAGTGCGGGGGACGGCGTGATAGGCTCCCTTGATGGTTGTGTAGCAGTGATCCAAAATATTCCCCTGTCTGGTGGGGCATTTAATAAATTGTTTATATTTTGGGAGTTCGTGGCTGAGGTTGCCTTTGTTAAAGTCACCAAGAACAATAACTAGGCAGTCCGGATAAGTCCTCTCCACACACAGTATCTGGTCGGCGAGTGTGCGCTGCGCCTCCTGCACGTTCGCACGTGGTGGAATGTACACACCAACCAGTATGAATGAGGAGAACTCTCGGGGGGAATAAAAGGGTCTGCAGTTGATGATAAAAGTTTCCAGAATGGGAGAACAGTGCTGCAGAATCACTGTCACATCGTTGCACCAGCCAATGTTTGTGTAAAAACATATTCTTCCACCTTTTGATTTGCCAGAGAGCTCCGTGTCGCGATCCGCTCTGAGCAGCTGGAAGCCTCCCAGCTGCAGCGCCAAGTCAGGAATCGATCCACACAGCCAGGTCTCAGTGAAGCACAAAACAAAAGATGAAGAGAAGTCTCTGTTTCTACTAACCAGTAGCTGAAGCTTGTCCAGTTTATTGCTTATGGAACGCACGTTGGAGAGAAATATTCCGGGTAGCGGCGTGCGAAGTCCGCGGCTCCGGAGGTGCACCAGTGTCCCGGCCCTTTTCCCTCTCCTGTGGCGTTTGAGTGCTCGAATGCAGGTGAGGGAACCTTTTACGAGAATGTCCAGTAATTCCACGGAAGAACAGAAAAAAGTGGGAAAGTAATCCGCTGGAGTTGTTTCTCTAATGTTTAGGAGCTCTTCCCTAGTGAAAGAGTTCGGTGTACAGTATGTAAACACTGAATTAACGCACACAACAAGACATCTTTTTTGTGAAGATGCACCGATAAAGATGGCCGCATCGTCTTTGTGCTCCTCTCCAACTTTGCCCCTTTTCGTATTTTGTACATATTTATTTTACTTTTGCAGTTTTACTTTTAACATGGTTCGCAACATGCAAGCCGACCGCACCTACTCTGCCATACAATATAGCAGAGAGGAACTTCTTCAATTGCGAAACTTCGTGGACAATAATAACCCTCCGACAGACAATGGAGATTCGCCATGGCTACCTGTTGCTGTTCTACCTGAGAGACGCAAGAAGAAGACAAAGCGAGGGGGCCGGGCTGCTGGTCAGACTGAGGAAACGAGAGAATCGACCCCCTCTTCCGAGTATTCTTCTGGCTAATATTCAATCCATTGAAAATAAGCTAGATGAACTCAGAAGCCGGATTGCTTTTCAACGGGACATTAAGAACTGTAACGTGTTGATTCTCACTGAGACTTGGCTCAACCCCGCTATCCCGGACTCCGCCATTGTTCCTGACGGATTCTCTATTTTTCGTCAGGACCGGACTGCTAACTCGGGGAAAAGTAAGGGAGGCGGTGTGTGTGTAATGACTAATAACAACTGGTGCACAGATGTGAAGATTATTTCTTCGGACTGTTCCGCTCATCTAGAGCACATGCCGGGCTTTTCACCTGCCGAGGGAATTCACATCTGTTGTGATAACAGCAGTGTATATCCCGCCGCAGTCGCTCGCCGACAACAACACGGCACTCGATCAGCTGTTTGGGATTATTGATAAAAACTGAGACTTCCCGGCCAGATGCAGCGTTCGTTGTGGCCGGAGATTTCAACACCGCCAACATGAAGAAGGTCTTGCCAAAATATTACCAACACATCAGCTGCCCGACGCGCGGGGGAAACATACTGGACCATGTTTATTCCCCTTTTCGAAATGGATATAAGGCTCTCCCTCGCCCTCCCTTCGGCAAATCAGACCACATCTCACTGCTGCTGCTGCCTGCTTACAAGCAGAAACTTAAAAGGGACAGACCGATAACAAGGACAGTACAGCGATGGAGCGAGGAGTCAGATGCAGCACTGCAGGATTGCTTTGCATCTACGGATTGGAGTGTGTTTGAGGACAATAACATCAACACACACACGGACACTGTCATCTGCTACATTGGGA